AAACGTCGGATCTAAGATCAAACGGTGAGTGGCTCTCTTGATCAAAATTGGACTGCTAGATGGTAAGGGGAGGATAGAACTTCTATATTGTAGAGGAAGTATAGAAACCTTTCTCAAAACAAAAACAAAAAACAAAAACAAAAGTGAATTACGCGTGACTAGCGGTCATCGGTTTCTTGACTCAAAGCCCAAATTGGAGCCACATGTGCATCACGCGTAGTGAGAGACTTGACTCCCACAAGTGCATCACGCGTAATGAGAGAGAGATTTCTCATAAACGACAGCGATTTTTTAAAAAAATCGGAGTTTTATGGGAGAATAAATGGAGTTCGGATTCTAGTCGCCTGCTAACCTTGAGAGAGAGAGAGAGAGGATGAAGACACCATTGAAGTACGTTGTGTGTGCTGCACTTGCAGCCTTCATTCTGTGTGCTTGTCTAATTCCCTTGGTGTCGTCAAGGCATGTTCCCGAGCCGCCTCCTCGATTCAGAAGGATTCATTTTCTCTTGAAGTTCCTTCATTTACAATTCAATTATCAGTAAATCATCGTCATTATTAACATCATCCGAGTCTTCTCCCTTTGTCAGTAAATAATAGTGGAAATTTTAAACTCATGACGTTTAAGAGCTTGTAGAAAACTAATTAAGAGAATTTCATATTATTAACAATATTGAGATTGAAAAGAAAAGGAAATCATGATAGAGGTGTTGTACACTATGATCCGTTTGTTAATTTTTATACTTTATGGCACTAGTCATCACTATCCAATCCTTAGATCCGATGGTAATGGAGGGGGAGGAGGATATCCAGTTGAATTAGTGATATATTTACCAGATGCTCTCTCCGTCCATCGCGGTCCATCCTACCAATTTACGATGATTACTCCAATGACCACTACTTTGTTTTATGCGAAAACTTCTTTGAATAAACCATCCAATGTGGAAACAAGTATTTCCAAGAAGTAACAAAGATTGAAATGGTCAAAAATTCATTTATTGCAAATACAATTTACACACATATATACTCATAAAATCTATGAGATATGAGTTGGTTCAAGTGAAAAGCTAAACAAGAATAAGTGATAGGGCTAAAAAGGTATGGTTGGAAGTAGTGACATAATGTATTCGAACTGCCAATCAAACGATCCCTAAGTCTTCCGTGTTGGTCTGATTTGCAGTCAACCTGGTAACGCCGAGTTTTTGGTCAGTCTCGAGCATCATTAAAAAAGACGAGGGATATTCTCAGGCCCGAACTGCTTCAAAAATTTGGCCTTGAATTATACCCCAGTCTAGCTATAGATTTTCTAGACACGCTAGGCCCATGTTGGCCAAGCTTGAGCCAGACCAGTTGCCAGCCATACCTCTCGTTTACAATTGCCATTTCAAAGTACCACGCGTGAGGTTGCACTTCGACTACGTCTCTTGTAAATGTACACCATGTGATCTGTTACCGACACAAACATGTGCTCTGTTACCGACACAAACATGTGCTCTTTTATCTCTAACGAGAGGGAGGTATGGCATTACTCGTATCATTAGAAGGTCCTCACTTTATTGTGAGTGTATTCCAAATTTGTACAAATAAAAGTCAGAAAGTGACAAACTACGGCAATTTAGGTGCTCGACCACTATGCTTACTGCTTTTGGCTTTAAAAATAAGGAGAAGTTCAAATGCGGTCCTCTTTAAATGCGGTCCCTTTCTAAAAATCTATCTTAGAGATAGATTTAGGATGTGAAACACATTCTAAGCTACATTAGATGTATTTTTGCTGTAGATTCATGATTTTGCAGCTTAAAAAACAGTACAAAATGTGATGATTTACTGATAAGTAAAATGAATGGCGAAGAGCAATCCAAAAGCAAATAATATAGTTTGTTTTAAAGGTTTAAAATTTATTTTCTTTGTATTCATCATTGCGGTAGTTGAGATTATTTACTTGAAGAATGTTAGGCTCAAGCTCATCTCGAAGATGGACTTTAGAAAAAAAGACTACATATGAAAAAGTGGGTATGGAGACATTCAAAAAACTCATTGCAAACAAAAGAAGAAAAAAAAACTTTTTAAGTGAAGTCATCTTGTTGCAAAAAAATTCATCATAGAGAGGAATTTAGCATCAAACACTGTTGGGTTTATGTGGTCATTAAAGGTTTTATGAGTGATTGTAATAAAAACATTTGATATAGTGGGAGTGTGGTCCAGCGTGGACCATACTATGTAAACAATGTGATAGAGGCCTACAAAGACGGCGCCCAAAGCCTCATCCATGTATCATCACACGGCATGCATATTTATAGACCGTTTCAAAAAAGCAAGTCATTTTTCAGGCTGAAACGTATGCATGTGCGAGAGAAATCCCTATGCACCGTAGGAGTTATGGTCGCATCAAGTCTAGGTGATCTTGACCCGTCTCTAAGGGGGACCTGTAATCCATAAATTGGGATTGCGACTCCTTAGCTCATGGATCAGACTTTGGTGACTTGTTAATGAGCCCCTGCTTAGATTGTAAGTCATAGAAAACACTGAGTCGGTTTCATAAGTAAATGTGGTCTGTAGTCCATAGTAGAAAATGGAGAATCCCCATTATTATTGATTTAATTCCTAAACTATATAGATCTTTTTCCCATCAAATTTATTTAAATATTTTTTTTTATGATAAAAATTATTTTACAATTATTATTTGAATTTTTATAAACCTTTAGATATTTTATTTATAATTTTTGAATTTATTAATATAATGATATTGATTTTACAATGATTTAAATATTCAAATAATACTTTTAAAAAAAAAATTATTGATTTTAAATATATAGAAAAATTCATGGGGGCCCATTGTGCACATGGGCCAACTATTTTCCTAGAAGTTGGGGCTCATGATTGCCTCCTTGGGTGGTGTGCCCCAACCTTTATTCACTTACTATCTTTTGTGATATAGCATGTGGCCATATGGTTGGATATATGTTGACCATAACTTAATATATTTTGAAAGATTTTGTGAAAGTATAAGAAGTCTTGCATTATTTATGGTATGCACAATATTTTGATTGGGTTTAATTTATTTAATTTCTATTGATGGAAAAATCATTTAGAAAAGAGAGATAAGGGTTCATGCACCGTCCATAATGTTGATGGCCCATCTATGGAGTGGATGGCTCAAATCTCTACCCTACAAGTCACTCTTGATCGACGGTTGATATTCAATCTTTCTTACGAGGCAAGCAATGGAAAAACCCTTAGAAACCCTAAACCCCATTTTGCATTATAAATAGGGGTGCACCCCCCTTATTCAAAACATGATAGAGAGCCTTCCTCTCTCTCTCATCACTCTCTCTCCTCCTGAAGGGCACACCCCACCTCTCTCATCTCTTTCTTCATAAGGGGCACACCCCTCTACTTCACTCTTCTCTCTCTAACCTACCCATATTCTCTCTCATAGCCTAATCAAAGGGGCATGCCCCACTTAGAGATAAATCACCTCTCTCATCTCTCTCTTATTTGATGTAAGCCTAGGGTTGAGAAAGTTGTGAAGGAGAAGTTTTGAAGTAGTATTGGGGTATTGAAGCACACGATTTATATTGAAGAGCTTGGCCTAAACTTACTTTCTCAGTTGAGATTGAAATTAGATCGTCGATCTCGTGTCATCGAATGGTGGTGACTCGATGTGGGGTGTAATAGGCTCGGTTGAGGTAATCTTCGGTACTCTCTACTTTTATTTCTTGAAATTTCATCTTTATATTCCGAAGCATAATAAAGAGTTATTTCAATGGCATCAAGTTTCAAGATCTTAGTTTTATTATTTTGTTGATTTTATTTTGAAGTATATGTTATTGTGATAAGATCACTTGTACGTTACCTTTTGCCACAACATAAAAAGGAGAAAAGAAATAAAATATATTATTCCCCGATAAAAGATCACATTGGTCTTTCTTTCATTGATATCAGAGCGTAGTTTCTAGATATCCATTAGAAATTTTTCTAATTTTTTGCTTGAGAATAAAAGATATGGCCGCTCGTACCTTCAACTGTGTGATCCTGAAAAACGAAAGATTTGATAGGATCAATTATGCCTCTTGGAGAAGAAATATTTGATGTGTTATTAATGAGAAAACCTTATATGAGATGCTCTATGAGCGTCGTCCTCATCATCCAAGTGACGACTCATCTCAAGCAATCAAATATGAGTATGCCACTTGAAAGAGGAGAACTTGAGATGTAAGAACATTCTTTTGTGCGCCATGACTGATTCGTATACTTTTGAATATGAGTCAATATATATTGCAAGAGAAATCTTTTATAGACTTGAGAGAGAGTATAATGGCCCCTCTCTCATAAAGCGAGTTATGGCTATTAAAAAATATAATGAATTAAAGATGGCAGAGGGTACTAAGTTCGTGGATCATGTGCACATCTTTCATGCACTAGTCAGAGAGATGGAAGACAACGATAGGAAACCGACTGAACCCATGCAAGTGATTCATCTCATGAATTCACTTCCTAACTCATAAGAAACTTTTGTGTCCTCACACTCGGTCAGAAGAGAAATTACCTCAAATGTTAACTTTTAGAAAGATAAAATATATTAGAATTATGGAGAATGAAACTACCTGAACATTTTTTAGAGAGAAAATTTTAGAGAAAGAAACTACTTGAAAATTTTTTATGAAAGAAACTATCTCAAAATTTAAGTTTTAGAGATAGAAAGCATCCTAAAATTTTAAAGAGAGTAACTATATCAAATTTTAGAGTGAGAAAGTACCTAAAATTTTTCAAAGGGAGAAATTATTTCAAAATTTTCAGTAGGAAGAAGTTTATTTAAGGTTGCAACCTTAAAATGTAGAAATAAAGATGCACCTCAAAAATCCATTGGAAAATGTTGTTTTAATGTTGAAAAACCCTTTAATTGATCATCTTGACATTGACATGTATGAATATGAAAAAAATAAAAAATTAAGTCTTAAAAATAGTGCATCTTGTAATAAAATAGACTGCCCATTTTCACAATTTTCATATGTTTATAGATCTACTTGATTTTAACTATTTTGGGGGTTTAAAATTTTATAATTAGATAATAAAATAGATTTTCAGATAATTCTAAGAATTTTTTACACCAAAGTTACATGTTATGATAGAATTTGAAGGTGCGCCTTAATTGGATTCTTTAAGGGATCTATCTTATAGAAACCGCACCCAGTACTTGGAAATTTTAAAGAGCTATACTATATCATATTTTAGAGAGAGAAAATATTTGAAATTTTTTAGAGAGAGATACTATCTCCAAATTTTTATAGGGAAAAACTATCTCAAATTTTAAGTCTAAGAGAGAGAAAGAATCTCAAATTTCTAGAGAGAGAAACTATATCAGATTTTAGAGAGAGAAAGTATCTAAAATTTTCATTTCCAAGAAAACGATATTCCAGGCAATCCAAACAGTGAATATCCATTGTCATGGTTTCTACCACATGCAATCCAAAGAGTATACACCTGAAAGTTAGACTTATATGATCTAGCTGGTGTATATATTCTTTTTTTTTAGTTTCTTCTTCTCTTTTTAGTTATTTTTCTTATGGCCTTTGATCAATCACAAGTAGTCCAACATAATAAATTGACTTAAAAAGAAAATAAAAAGAAATAAATCTAGGATCAAGAACTTGATGCTACTAAAAACTTTCTTTTAATAACCAAAGAAAATCACATTGCTATGCTTGGGAATAACAAAAGACGTAAGAAGTAAATATGGCAAAAAAACAAGAAAGTACTGGAAATTACCTCAATCAAGCTTATTACACCCCACACCGAGTCACCACCTTCTAATGGTGCGGAATCAATGGTTAACCTTCAATCTCAAACCAGAGAAAGCAATTAGGCCAAACGTCCAATGGATCAAGAATTCATTTTAAACTTAGATATCAAACTAAGGCTTAACCCCTTGATAACATAGTTGAAAGAGATAGCATCTCATTACTAAAACCCTAACCCTTTAGGACATGAGAGATGGGAGATGAGATATAATCAAAATAAGTGGGGCATGCCCCTTATGGATCATGAGAGACAGAGAGAGCATCTCAAGAGGTTGGGGCATGCCTCTTCATAAATCTAGAGAGAGAAAGTTACTATGTGGGGTGTGCCCCCTATTTCTTATGAGAGAGAGAGGACAAATTTTAGGTGTGAAAGATATGGAAGAGGGCACCCCTTTATAGAGTGCTTGAATGGGTTTAGGGTTTTTTAGGCTTTTCCATTATTTGTCTCTTATTGTGATATTGAATATAGCAACAACAACTCTATGGTGCGTAGAGATAATATTCGTATATGTACAAATATCATCCTGAAAGGTGGTTTGCTTTCTCGAAATGGCAATCATATGTGCATATCTTGTGATGGTATACGGATGAGACTTTGACCCCATTTTTTAAGGTCTTCATCACACACAAGGGTCACACAGTCCCTCGGCTCACTCGTCTTGGCATACTCTAACCTCATCAGTGGATGACCCCATTATAACCCTTGTTAGTTTAATCTCTCTATCCATGTAACATCATTTACCTAGTATGATCCACACAAGACCACACTTCCACCGAGTTCATGTTCCGTTATATCAAAAGTTTATTTACAAGCACTCATAAGGCCTTTAATAGCAATATATACCCAACAACACCACATTCCAAGATATGCCAATTCTAGTAAATACCAATTCCAGGACATACTTTCCCACATGATTGAAAAATCCAGAGAACCAAATGCCCCCTTCGAGAATTAAGAGTATAAAACTAAACCAAATATTCCTACTTCCAAGTGAGACACAATGTATCAACCAAATTACATACTGCTTTCAGATTGACAATTCATTAGTTTATTGGAACTATTGATTAAAAGCCAAATTGGTGGGGCACATCGTCCACCCTCACATCGGTATTGAATCGTTGGATCGACAATCTAGACAATGTTTCGATTGGTAGGAATTAACAATAAAAAAAAGTGAAAATAAAAAACGTAAAAAAAATTTAAAAAGGAGTTTTTGGGTTGAGACATAAGGGGGCCCTAAAAAAATAAAAAAAATAAATCAATAAGAAAAAAGAAAAAAAAGGAAAAAAAAAAGTGGGGTCGTAATGAGGAGCATGCAGAGACCTAAACTGTCCCCAAACCAATTTAGTTGTGACCGATTCCCAATTAAATTAATGATTCATAGAACCAATGGTTCAAAAAGCAGATCGGTGACCCAGATCGGGCACCTCAAAAACCGATCCGGATTGGCGAATCGACTATTCGGATCGATGAATCGGCGATCCAGATCGGGAATCGGCTGAATTGGTCGGATTAAAGCTTCAAAAAAAATCCTAAAAAAATTTTAAAATTCATTATAAATATTGTTTTTTAGGAATCCAATAAGAAATGAGGGTACTACATTATTAACTATCATTTTTTTCATCAATTTGTGAATATCGATATGCTCTTTCCCTGTATAAACTTATTGAATTTACATCACATAAAAGAAAAATCTTGTTTTGACGAAAAACCCTAATCCGCTAAAAAAACCCAAATTATTACAACCTAACATACTATAAGCCAAAATTATTACAACCTAACTAATTATAATATTATATACTGAAATTATAATTATTAGTTTATATTTTATAATTATGTTATTAGATAAATAATAACAAATTTAAAATATTTTATAATATTATCTAATTTAAAATGTATTATTGACATTTGTAAGAAAAATAGTACATTACATAATTTTTAATGTAAAAATTAATAAATAAAATAAAAGATTTGGTTATTAATGTAAAAATTAATAAAATGCGTACAAATTGTGGAAATAACACTTTAATTTATTATATGCCCAAAGGAGAACAAAAATTAGCTCAAGGGTATAAATTATTATATGGCCCAAGGGGGGATTCGAACTTGAGAAGTCAAAGCAAATAACATTAGTGATAACCATCATATCTCCTTAACATATGTGTTTAAAAGTACCTATTAATAGCATATATTTACATTTTGTTTTCATTTAATGATGTTTGGAAATTATTCCACATTGAAGGATGAGTATTCAAATATGCTATATTAATAACTATGTAATTAGAAGATAAATACTAGTGTGCAAACACTAGGGCATCCGTGCACGTGTGGCACATGTGGGAGTGGTGTGTCTCGCACGTGTAACGTGCACACACATGTGAATGTGTTTTTTAAGCCAGAACCAGTGCATACGTGCATCTGCGTGGGAGTGTGTGGCACGTGTAGGAGTGTGTATCGCTCGTGTCACACGTACACACGTGTGGGAGTAGTGCGTCAACCGGTGCATACGTGCACGCGTGCATGTACGTGGGAGTGTGTGTGGCACGTGTGGGAGTGTGTATCGCTCGTGTCACACGTACACACGTGTGGGAGTGTTGCGTGTCACGCACGTGACGCATACACACGTGTGAAGGTACTTTAAGGTTAGAACCGGGAGGGAAACGGACAGAACAAGGTGGGAACCGCCGGTTCTGCTCTAGAACCGGACGATTCCCGCTTTTGTGCTGAAATCGATAAGGGGCCGATTCTCGAGTCGAACCAGATGAGTCCAGTTCGACTCGCCGTGTTTTAAATCATTGCATAGAACAGTTATGTTGACTCACTGGCTTTTATGACTAGCGGTCATCTTTCCTTTCTCGACTCAAAGCCCAAATTGGAGCCACTAGTGCATCAAGAGAGAGATTTCTCATAGAGGAGAGCGAGAGGAGAGAGAAAGAGAGTCTTGAGTGAATGGCACTGCCCCACACGCTATGACTAGCGGTCATCTTTCCTTTCTTGACCCAAAGCCCAAATTGGAGCCACAAGTGCATCAAGTGAGAGATTTCTCATAGAGGAGAGCAAGAGGAGAGAGAAAGAGAGTCTTGAGTGAATGGCACTGCCCCACACGGTCTACTGATAATGACAGGCCACATTCTTGTAAGAAACTTATGGGATTATAAATGGAGCTCGGATTCTAGTCCCCTGCTCACCTTGAGTGAGAGAGAGAGAAAGGATGCAGACAACATTGAAGTACGTCTTGTGTGCTGCATTTGCAGCCTTCATTCTGTATGCTTCTCTAATTCCCTTGGTGGCGTCAAGGCATGTTCCCGAGCCGCCGCCTCAATCCGGTAGGATTCGTTTTCTCTTGAAGTTCCTTCATTTACAATTCAATCGTAGCCTAATCATCAGTAAATCATCGTCATCATTATCATCATTCGAGTCTTCTTCCAACTAATTGTCAGTAAATAATAATAGAAATTTAAAACTCGTGACGTTTAAGAGCTTGTAGAAAACTAATTAAGAGAATTTCATATTATTAACAATATTGATATTGAAAAGAAAAGGAAATCATGATAGAGGTGTTGTACACTACGATCCGTTTGTTAATTTTTATACTTTATGGTAGGAGTCATCACTATCCAATCCGTAGATCTGATGGTGATGGTGATGGAGGGGGAGGGGGATATCCAGTTGAATTAGTGATATATTTACCAGATGCACTCTCCGTCCATCACTGTCCAACCTACCAATTTACGATGATTACTCCAATGACCACTACTTTGTTTTAGGGGTATACTTCTTTGAATACACCATCCAATGTGGAAACAAGTATTTCCTAGAAGTAACAAAGATTGAAATGGTCAAAAATCCATTTATTACAACCCACATTCCATAGGCATTAGCAGTGGAGTTTTCTATGAGCTTGATTGTTAAGGGAAAAATTACCAGATAGCAGAGAGCCAAATCCACAGATGGTATAATATCCATCCGAAGATACAATTGCGTCGAAATCTTCTACTGTTATCAAATGGCTGTAGGAACTGAAATCTCAGGCCACTTGACAAGCCAACAGAGAAGAGAGGAGCGTTTGTTGGACCTTCAATCGGAGAGAGAGAACTTGTTGGACCTCGAACCCATATGAATAACAACTTATAAAGGTCCACTTGAGCTCTCTGCCATCCACAATTATTGAAACATTGCCCCATGATGGAGTTGACATATAATGACAAAATAATAATAATGGAGTGATTCACCTTGCATATAATGACAATAATAATAATGGAGTTGGCAGGCTCGGAACAAAATAGGTGATGCACCTTGCATCAATGGACAAAATAGGTGACGCACCTGGATAGGGGCTTTGGACCATCATGGATCTATAATAAATGCTTCACAGATCTAATTGGTATGTAAATTCCCCTGGTACATGGCTTTAGACCACCATAAACATATTAGGCCTGTAATGGTGCTTCAAGGATCTAACAGGTCCATGATGCCTTGTGGTACCTAGCTTTGGACCACCACGAAACCATAGGAATTAATAGGTTGGTGAAGCCCTATAATGCTTCCTCAACATCAAGGAAGAACTTGATGGGGGTTTTTAGTCTGTGATGGTACTTCATAGATCTAGAATACTTCTGATGGGCATTTTTTAGATTAAACATGTTGAAAAAATATGAATGGCTGTAAAAAAAATAAAAATAAGAATAAAAAGAAGGTATATTTTGAATTTCTTAAAAGAAGGGGAAAGTTTTGATAATTTGCCTTTACATCATCACCAAAAAATTGATAGAATTGGATATGGTGAATCTGAACCTTAAAATGATGTCTCCCACAGGAATGATCTTAATAGGGATTAGGAATGGGCTCAAGGCTAGGTGGTCATGGTCACGGGTTACAACGACGACGACTTGAATTAGTAGGTAAGAAATCCCTTCCCCACTTCCAACTGCACTACCAACAAAAAAAATAAGAGAAAAAAAACAAAGAGAGAGAGAGGGAGGGAGGGAGGGAGGGAGAGAGAGAGAGAGAGAGAGAGAGAGAGAGAGACAGAGAGAGAGAGAGAGGGGTTTAACAAATGCCTGAGTAAAGGTAGTATGTGTTTGATAATATTAATATGGGTTTCTTTTGGAAGAGACCATACGCAATTTACATCTCTTCGACATGAGGAAAATTAAAAAGCATAGCTGAGCAAAACGAAAAAAGTTCACTTGAAGAAAAGCAACATTTTCTACATGGTCATGGGAATACATATACAAGCAGACTTTTATCAGCAACAACTTCAATAACAAAGTACATATAAGTAGAGTATTTAAGAGGAGATGAGAATCCAACCCTCTGAGGAATTGTCGTATGATTACAAACAACTCAGTTTCTTTTCAACACCAAGCCTTCATGTAGCCAATTTCTCATAATCACAAATGCATCCTCCGCATCTTCATCTTCTTCTGGCGAAGCAGGTCGATGCGCAAACGCATGTCCCCGTCCAGAATAGGCCACCACCCTCGATCCATTAATTCTCTTCTCCATTTCGCGTAAAGTCTCAACTGGACAAAGTGTATCCTTCTCCCCAACCACAAAGAAAACAGGTATCTTTATGTTATAGGCGAGAGATGGATCAAGTCTAGTTCCATAGAAGCATATAGCTGTGCTAAAGTAGCCATTTTCATCTCTTGCAAGAGTCTCAAGAAGGCGACCTCCACCAAAACAAAACCCAATGATACCCAACTTCTCAGAGATCCCCGCTGCTGAGAATTCATCCATCATCCATTTTGTCGAGGTTGTGATATCCATGGCAACCCTGTCAAGGGAGTGTGTGACTCTCCATATCTCAAACTCTTCTTTCGGTCTATCTTTAGACCATGGATCCCCTCTAAACAAATCAGGGACTAAGACACTGCATTTTTTTGACAAGGACATTCATAAGAGTCATAATAAGGACCTACAGATTGCAACAAGTTGATCCATGCTGCCATTTTACAAATTTCAATATGAAAAGGTTCCTTCCATAAATTGTGTTTGGAATTTTCATGTTTTGAGCATGACGAAAAATACCAAAATCATAATTAATGATTTGGCCAATCATTGAACTAGGAATTCATGAGAGCAGGACACTAAGAATCAGTGATGACTAATTTATTTTGTTTTTCATGGTTTTAAAGGCATAAGGCAATGCGTAGGAAGGTCCCTCGTACCCATTTTTAGTCAGAGATAGAGAAAGGACTAGTTAGAGAGAGAGGAGATTGGTTGAACAGATAATAATGACACCCACAAACCCAACACCCAACACCCTTGCCCCCAGCCATTTTTAAGAGAGAGAAGTGGTTCAGAATAGGGAGAATGATTGGAGAGAGAGAGAGGAATAAAACACACTACGTAATGAGGGATTATTTGGAGGGAGAGAGAGAGAAGGAGGGAGACAGAGAAGAAGAAGAAGAACAACAACAACAACAAAACAATACACAACACAACAAACACATGCAAACAATAATACTCTCTCTCTCTCTCTCTCTCTCTCTCTCTCTCTCTCTCATACACACACACACAAACACACCATAACAGGCATATATAAAATAACCCCCCTCTCCCTCTCACATGCAAATACACAGAGCACTACAGAGATGTGCGCAGGAGCATGCAGGCACAATTACTCACACAAAACATCCTATCCAGTCGCCATGACCAATACTCTAGACAGCACCTAAGCAAGCTAGGTACCTGCTGAGTAATCCCCACCCAGGCAGCTCAACCTGGACCTAGGAGGGTGCCGAGGCCCTTCGGTGCCGCAACGCACCATCTAGGAATCCAAGGCAGGCACCTTTGACTACACTGACATGTTTTTCCTCATTAGATTCGGGGATTGTCTCTAAGACTTTTTATATCAAATGCTAGATATTACTTACAACAATTAAAGATCAAGGCCAGATCTAAAGAATCATGACATTGTAGATACAGAAGACATAGAACAAGATTAGCTTTTCCGTAGTAATATTCAGAATTTCATATTACTCTTTTCAAATAATAGATTTTCATATCACTCTTTGAAATACTAAATGAAATAGCCGAAGATATGGTCTTTGCTGGTGGATTTACCATGAACATTTCCAATTTCACAGTCATCATCAAAGTTGTTGAAACCATGTTGAAGATAGTAATCATGTTTTTATGCTTGCTTATCAGAATCCAGGCTGGATCTTGAGATGCACATGAAAATGAAAGCCCGAAAGAAAGGTCAATCTAATCTGGAATCTATCATCAGGATTTGGACCATGTCGATGTGAATTTGTTTTGGGTGAAATATGTTATTCAAATGAATGATTTCTCAATTCCACGTCAAAAGATTGCACAAGAAATAGGTCATATTCCAATGCACTCGATATGTATATATATAAATATATATATATATATATATATATATCTGAAAAACTCTTCTCAATGCCTATAGGGGAAAATGAATATGATTTCTCCTACCCTCATGACCATCCAAACTTCATCGCACAGTCCCAGTTATCCGATAGTGTTTCAATTTTCATTTTTTTTTCTACAAATCCAAATTACTTGAAATTTGGAGCATACGTACATCTTAGTGAGGCGCACCTAATAAAAATATGAAAAAACTAATTCGCAAAATATAAATTAACCAAAATACCCCCATAATTTTTTGGAGGTATTTTGGTAAA